GAGTGCTGGATTGGAAGTGGGGCATTTGGTATACAAACTGGCACCCCTATGGAATACTAAACCCTACTTCTTGGAGTCTAAACTATACCTCATTATAGAACTTCATCAGGAAGCCAAATCATTTTCAAAAAGAATGTGCACTCAGAGTGACAGGACACATACAGGGATGAGTTCAGGCAGGGAACTTCACTCACACAACAGCACTGTGTATTAGCTAAGTTTTCCTGACTTGTGCTCTTCTTCATGGTGTTAAAAGATAACTTTCTAAAGAATGATTGGAGTATAATTAGCCTTTCGTTACTAGATTACCAATGATTTGTATTTTTCTACAACAGTTAAAACTGTATCACTAAACTGCTTTTTATTATTGCCAGGTATCTCATATGTATGTCTAAAATGTATAGATTTTGTTTATAACTTCACCTAACAAGTAATCATGACTACAAAATAGTTTTGATTTGTGGATTTTTTTTTTAATTTTGAATTTTATGATACAATTCCATAGGCTCTGACATTCCCCTATCTCCTTCCCAAATTCCCACTCCCCAACTGATTTTCCCAAGATTTGGGCAATTCTGAATGACATAAGTCCAATGTGAAAATACTTCAAAAAATTCTTGAGAAAATATAATTTGAAATATATGATTACTTTTAAAAATTAATATACATTTCCCATGAAACTTTAGAAAATTTTTCTCATAAGTGAATTTCAATTTGTTTTGCACAAAAATAAAATTAGAATATTTGCATCCATTCCATATTCCACAGACTTTTCAAAAACTCCTTATTTCACTGATCTTTCTTCCACCTGTTTCGTATTTCTTGAGCTAGTCAGGTGCAATAAAGCAGAGAAAATTTTGATAGTGTCAGGTATTTTTTGCGCAGTAACTATCTCCTTCCTAACATTGTCTGATGGGAGGTTTATTAACTTTGAGACAAGGAAAGTTAGTTTTTTACTTTAATCAGCTTTTGTTCCCCAGGAAACTGAGCTTCAATTCTTCATCAGTAAATTAAGAACCTTGTAACAAAAATGCTTGCAGTCTCAAAGCAGTTTACCAGGAATTGCATTCTAAAAGCCACTCTAAATAAAAACAGTATATTGAGGCTATTTATGTTTCGTGTTGCAATTATAACATAACCTGGCAGAAGCAAACTCGCAACATCAGTACTTTTTCAACCAGAGAAACAAAGTAGTATAGATCCAAATCTTTTTTTTCCCCTTGTATTTACAATGGCCTAGAATAAGAAATTCACTGTTTAGAGAAGTGGATATTGAGGTTAGGATTTTGCAGGAAGAAATTGTAGTTAACTTTTACGTGCAACCAATTTCCCGCAGCCAAGTCCTCTTTTCAGGACAAATTTACTGTATTAAACCAAAATACCAGGCACAGTGAGGTACCTAGGAGGGAGGCTCTTTCATTCCAGTAAGATAGGCATGGGATTGGGGGTAGAGAGAGAGAAAAAAAAAAAGCGAATAAAAGGAAACATTTCCTACCATGGTGGCAGGAGGCGAATGCGGGTGTGTGCGTAGGGCGTAGAGTGGGAGTTGAAGGGGGAGGAGGAGGAAGGAGGAGGAGGCAGGGCCGGTGAGGGGAAAGGGACAAGCCAAGCACTGGGAGAGACATACAGCCGAGTGTGCCTGTTTTGTGGCGGGGGCGGGCCAATGAAGGATTGGTGGATAGGTTTGTCGGAGGCACTGGGCATTGGTAGGTGGGCGGGACTAAGGGGAGGGGCCAGTAGCGGTTGGTAAGTGGGTTTGCCAGTCACAGCCTCATGAGGTGCCATGATGTTCCAGCAGATATCTGGGAACAGGATAACAAAGTTACAGAGGATTGGCAGACAACAAAATGTGAACCCAAAAACTGGTAAATCATAAGGAAGCTGAGACCTAGGGAAAGCAGATATTTAAAATAGTACAGAGTCCAAAACGGCAAAAGCCTTCAGGGATGATGTCTGGATCTCTTCTCACAATTATCTCATTTGGACTAATATATTTATAAAGATTTGATCAGTAACTTTTGCTTTCCAGCGTGTACATTATAGGAAACTGCAGGAAATAGCTGGAATTCAAACGAGGCATGGTGACTTGTCATGTCACCCCTACTACCCATCTGGGAGACCCAGACTTGAGCACCAGGCTCTTACCTGGGTGTGAGATGTTTGGTTCTGCTCTCCGCCTTTGGTCTCTATCTCTCCGCCTTGAAAATAAAACGAAAACAAGTGAACTTTTATAAGTAGGGAAAAGGCAGACAAAAGACACACTTTGTTTTTATAACATTAACTGGAGCTGACAATCAATATCGGTGATAAACAGAGCTGATTATAAATGGAGAACTTCCCGATAGATGCTCATGTTATACAGACAGCTGTTAATTTTCTGTAACATACCACATTCATTGGTTTACAGTCATTTGAAAAAACAAAAAAGGTCAATTAATGAGTGTGAACACAGAAAGTAATTAAGAAATCTTTTTCTCTGTCTTCACCGAGGGATCAGTCCTGGATGCTGATGAATGCTGATGATACAACATCTATTATAATGCCATCTCTCACACTTAGGTAATTACCTGCGAGTGAAACACAACAAACTTATCTTACTTGAGGGGAAAAAAAAATCTATGGACTTCTCAGTCCATTGCTTTGGTAGCAATGAGAATTGAGTGCAATGAGAATAAAATGCTGCACATTGGACTAATAATAGCTCTTCACAGGCCCCAGAATCAAGCAAACACTTTTTTTTTTATGAGTGGGCTGAAGTTTTCTATAGTGCTCATAAATACATGTTTTAAAGAAACAATTGCTTTTCTGTAAAAGCCTTGGCAGAGATCTTGCTTTTATAGGCCAGATCTTCACATCCCCTGAGGATGAATACAAACTGAGTTTTTGTGGCATATTGTACAAATTGCTCTTCTAAACTGTCTCCTGAGAAGAATGCATACCAGAAATTTAGAAGAGGCCCGTTTTCTTTCACTCAGCATGTTGACTTGTAATGAAGAATTTTCTCCACACTGCATTTACATAAGCCATTCAATTTGAATCACTTCTGGACCAACTGCAGCTCCTTTCTTTTTTTTCTTTCCTTCTTTCCTTCCTTCCTTTCTTTCTTTCTTCCTTCCTTCCTTCCTTCCTTCCTTCCTTCCTTCCTTCCTTCCTTCCTTCCTTCCTATCTTAGCAGTAAGAATGCCAGCAAACTTTCATGCAGAGAAATACTGTATACCTGTTAGGCCAGGCAGGCGTCTCCGTAAAGCACAGTGTTCAGTCTGCGGTTGGACAGGAATTTTGATGGATTTGGTGTACAGGCCCTCTTTCTCCCTGCGCCCCTACAAACTTTCTGGAATGTATTTGTAAATGAACCTCAGGACACCATAATATCTCCCTTCATGGCAGGGAGACATGACCATCTTCAACTGCTCCCAGGGTGAGGGTTGGGAGTCTACCCCAACAAATTATTGAACAATGGCAAGACCTTAAAAATTATTTATTTATTTTTATTTATTTGAAAAACAAAGTGAGAGAGAAAATAATATCTACTATTTACTGGTTCACTCCCTAGGTGGCTGCAACAGCCATGGCTAGGTCAAACAAAAGTCAGGAACCCAGAACTTCTGAATTTCCACCTAAGTGAAATAGATTCTGGGACTTGGGTCAGCTCTTGCGTTTCCCAAGGCATATTAGCAAGGAGCAGGATCCAGAAGGGAAGCAACCAGGTTTTGAACTGATGTCCATGTGTGTAATGATATTTCAGGCACGGCTTAACCTGGTATAGTTCAATGCTGATATATTGGCAAGATATTTGACATGTAAGTGTTCTTTGTTTCCTATTGCATCACATAAAATTTTCCATTTTTCATTTGCCCATTGGACACACATATTTCATGTATATCTGGTTTACCTAATTTGTAAAGAAGATTTTTTTTAAAGATTTATTTTTATTATTTTTTTATTGGAAAGGCGGATATATCGGATGGAAGAAGATTGTTTTTAAGGAAAGGGAGATTAAAAGAGAGAGAAGGAGAGACAGACAGAATGATCTTCCGTCCACAGGTTCACACCCCAAGTAACCACAATGATTTGAAACCAGAAGCTTCTTCTAGATCTATTATAGTATACATTCCCAAGGCTTTGGGCCATCTTCTGCTTTCCCCAACCAAACACAGAGCTGGAATGGACAGCAGCTGGAATATGAAACAGTGCCCATAAGGGATCTTGGTACCTGCAAGGTGAGGATTTAGCCTCTGAACAACAACGCTGGGGACAGCACCCGATTTCCTTACCATTCCCCCTCACCCAAGTAAAGTAACCTGTAATCGTAGTTTGGTACATGGATGAAGGCTCACTGCTGTATTTTCTCCAGCGCTAACATATGGGGGTAAAATTTTTATGAGTCTTTCTTTTGCTATTGGTTCTGTGGCATTTAGAGGTGGTCTAGGAAATATTTGTCTTGAGCAGCTCAGAACCCTGTCCTATTGTCAGGTGTAACAGGCTAGAATCCTTAACTTATGACTAACAGGGGCTGGAAAGCTTGCATTCTGTTAGAAACAAATCCAATGAGAACATGAAAGACACATGATTCATGGGGAAACAAAAAACAGTATTTTCATGACCAGACACTAAGCAGAATATTCTAGCCCTGGAATCTACAGCAGTTTCTTAAAGATATGGAACGGTGCCTGAAGTAGGAGCCTAGTGGCTAAATACTAGCTTTGCACACACCTGCATCCTGTGTGGCTGCCAGTTTGTGTCCTGTCTGCTCCACTTCCCATTTCATCTACCTGCTTGTGGTCTGGAAAAGCAGTGGAGGATGGTCCAAACCTTGGAACCCTGCAAAAGTGTGTGAGACCTGGAAGAATTGCCTAGCTCCTGGCATCAGATCAGCTTAGCCCTAGCAATGCTGCCACTTGGAGAGTGAACCACTGGATGGAATTCTTTCTCACTTCTCTTCTTCAATCTGTAAATCTGCCTTAACAATAAGAATAAATGGATCTTTAAAAATACATACAGTGCTTGCTTCGGCAGCACATATACTAAAATTGGAACAATACAGATAAGATTAGCATGACCCCTATGCAAAGATGACACGCAAAAAATATACAAAATAATGTATTGATTAGTTTTTAAATGATTTATTGATTTGAAAGATAAGATTACAGAAAATGGTAGTGGTGTGGGGGGTGGGGGAAGCAGAGACAGAGAGAAAGAAGAGAGAAAGAGAAAGCGAGAGAGAGGTTTTTCCATTCAATGGCTCAGTCTCCAAGTTGCTGAAATGGTTAAAATTAGGCCAAGAGCCAGAAGCCAGGAGCCTCGCCTAGTACATTGCCCTATCACTTGGCCACCTTACATTGCTTTTCCAGGCACATTAGCAAGGAACAGGATTGGAAGTAGAATGCCTGGAACTTGAACTAGTATCTATTTGGGATGACAGCATTTCAGGAGACTGCTTAATCTACTGCTACACAACACTGACCCACCCAAAGTGCTTGTTAAATATATTTTCCAGGGGCCAATGTTGGGTTACAATGGCTTAGGTCATCACCTGTAATGCTGGTATATAGTATGAGAACCAGTGGATGAAAGGTCTTTCTTACTCTCTCTAATTTTGCCTTTCAAATAATCAAATAAATCATTTTAAAAAGGTAAATTCCAGTGTACCTACTTAAATGGGAAACTTTGAGATAGGTCAAGGAATCCTGAATTCTTAGCCAACAGTGATTGATTTACACATAAACATTGGAAAATTCTACACTAGCTTGTAGAGTTTTAGGAAAGTTGGAATTTCCTAAATTATTTGAGTCAAACAGTTATGTATGCAAGACTATCTGCAATAAATTGGGTATCTGCTTTCTGTTTCAGTGAATTTCTCAAGCTCAAGTTCTATTTTAGCATTTGTTATACGGCCTTTTATTTGATAGATTATTCACCAACTCCTGAGTTGCTACATTGTGATCTAGATAAAATGAAATACATGTCTGACGAACACAAAGTTTTGACCTCATGGAGCCTTAAAGTTATAGAAGATGGATAAATGGTTAACACAATACATATATGGTAGTATATTGCATAATGACAACCTGGTCAACAATGAACCACATATATGGCAGTAATAGAAGGAGAGCAATGGAGCTGAAAATTTCCTGTCACTTATAATGTTGTAAACGTCATAACAGCATAGTACAATGTATTATTATTTGTCTTTTGGAAATTCTGGTGTAACAAATTTATTATACTGTGCACTGGGGTGAATGAGAAGGACTCGAATGCCCTGAGAGTGAGTGATGGTGATGAATCATGCAGCAGGCTGGGGTTGGTGAATAAAACTTGTCTTACATTGAGAAACTTGGAAATAAATTCATGTACTTTGAGCAATTATCGTTAAGACTTTTGTGAAAATTAAAAGGATAAGGAATAAGAATGATGTTTAAGATATTTTTGATAAAATTTAGGCAAGAAATGGTGTTGGTTTGAGCCTGAGGTATTGGTAGATGTGAAGGTAGTGAGGAGAGAATTATCCTCTAGTTATAAGTGGAATGGAAGAAATAATTTCTAGGATTTGAATCCTGAGCAATTGAAGAATAATATTTGGCTGGTGGAGTGATTTAGTAGCCTAAGCTTCTACCTCCTGCATAGGCAACCCACATGGGTGTCAGTTCATATTCTGGCTCATCCACTTCCAATAAAGCTCACTGTTTATGGCCTGGAAATTCAAGGGAAAATGTCCCAAGTACTTGGACTCCTGTACCCACATGTGAGATTCAGAAGAGGCACCTGGTTAATGGTTTCACTTCAGCTCAGCTGTGTCCATTGTGTCCATTGGGGGAATGGATCAATGGATGGAAGATACTGCATTCTTGTTCTGTTGTTTCTTCTTCTTCATTTTTTTTTTGGTAACCATGCCTTTTAAATAAAATACTTAAAATACATAAAATAAATAAAAAGAATAGTGCTGCCATTAGACAAGAAAACCATAGAATAAGGAACATTTTGGTATGAGGTATCAAAGCTGAATTCTCAACATAGAAGTGTTAAATTCTTTTTACCCATTTAAATAGGATGCCAAGTAGTCTGAAGCTGAGCAGATCCGAAGCCAAGATACAGGAACATCTTCAGGTCTCCCACGTGGGTGCAGGGTCCCAATTGTCTGGGCAGTCCTCGACTGCTTCCCCAGGCCACAGTCAGTGAGCTGGATGGGAAGTGGAGCAGCCGGCACATGAATCTGTGCCCTTATGGGATTCTAGCACTTGCAAGGTGAGAATATAGCCACTGAGTAATTGTGCCTGACTGCAAGACTGAGAACATTCTATTTCAATAAGCTTATGGAGAAATAAGTGGTAAATGTATTTTGGTACAAAAAAATGAAATTGACACTTTAGTTTGTCATAACATATATTTTCTGTCAACTTGCTGAAAACCCTCATACAATTTTTGAGATGGAGAATATGGTGCATTCAAATCCATTAATAATGACAGTTTTCCCGGCGCAATAGCATAGCGGTAAAAAGCCCCGCCTTGAATCCGCAAGGATTGCATATGGGTGCCAGTTCTCATCCCAGCAGTCCTGGTTCCCATCCAGCTCCCTGCTTGTGGCCTGGGAAACCAGTTGATGATGACCCAAAGCTTTGGGACTCTGCATTCATATGGGAGACCCGGAAGAAGCTCCTGGCTCCTGGCTTCAGATTGGCTCAGCTCCAGCTGTAGCGGCCACTTGGGTGGTGAATCAAGAGAGGGAAGATTTTCCTCTCTGTCTCTCCTCCTCTCTGTATATTTGCCTTTACAATAAAAATAAACAGATTTTTCAAAAAATAAAATAATGATCATTTCAAAGAAATGATCACATGATTGAGTTGCTGAGGGAGAGGATATCAGATTCTGAACGGACCATGCAGGAGTTTTGAATTTGTTAAGAACATTAACAGGTGTAGCAATGAAACAATCGATGACAGATCGAAGCTCTACAATTTTAAGTGATAATGTGTCAGTAGGGTGTGACTGATTAAGTAGATCATGCATCATTTAATGACACAAAATTTAAAATCTCTGACAACCTGCAACCCTCATGTCCAGTGGTAAAAAGGCACTGGAAAGAAACAGCTATCCTTTGAGGGAACTGCAGAGAAACCAGTGACTTCACCAGAGCATGAAGCAAAAAGATAACTTTGGAGAGATATTGAGTTTGGAGGATATAGTGCTGAGTTTTTCATCTTGAATTCCAGAGGGGCATAACAAGAAGGTTTCAGGAAAAAAAAAAGTGGGAGATGGAGTTAGAAAAGCAGATAAACAGCCATGCATGGTTTAGAATCCCATGGCTTAAAATTGAGCTTGGGTCTTGGTCTTTGAGCAGTGACTGTCATGCCTAGAGATGAGGGCTTAGTGAGGGGAGTTCAGTTGGCCACTCACTTGGAACACCAGACGGACTCTGAGAGAGAGAGGCAGCGACATAAGCATGTGTCATCAGCCATACAGTGAACAGGGATTCCGACTTGTATCCTCAAGTTGGAAGCAAGGGGTTTTGCAAAGAAGCAGTCCTACTCTAAAGCCTACATAAAAATTTCTTTACTCCGTTATGGCAGCAATCCTTTGTTCGCTGAGTGTTTATCTACAAAAACAATATTGCATTGCATTTTTAAGTGAAATAAATAAATAAACATAAATAGCTTCCCTTAATACACTGTCCATATTACATTTTAAATCCATCTTGGCCAAATAGGCCACCCAGGCTTACATGACATACACAGTTCGATTTTTCTGAACATATTAATGTGATTTGTAGACTGAATTAACATTTTGATAGTATCCCTACGGAAATTGGCAGGAGACAAGTAATATATATCTAGGACCTTGTGTCAGTGTAACTGAAGTGAGAGGTTTCCTGTTCAGATTGGTGTAAGTGAATATTGGTTGCCTATATCTAATGTCACATGTGGCCTTGTTCACTGCAGAATATTACCTTTATAATTATGACAGGTTATGATTCTTTGCCTAAATGAATGCCTAATTACCCTTTGTGAGTAATTTTTCATGAACAACAGATACATAAAAATCAAATCACTGTATGCATAAATCTAAAGCAACGTTTAAAGATATAACAAAACTTGGGGCGCGATTATTATATTTTTGCAATTGAGAAGCAGTCCTTTATAACACTACTTTTAAAGATATTCTCCAAGAATCATCATAAACAAGTTCCCAATAGTACACTGAAAACACTATTCTAAGACCCCCTGATAATTCTAAAAATATCGCCTATCTGAGGCAAAGGGCTTTTAAATACAAGGATTGTCCTTGGCTTCAGATCAAGACAAACCGTTCACTGAAAGGGCAGTTCCTCCCGGGTGTTGAGAACAACTGTTAGTCTCCTGTGAACTGACTGTGCTTTGTTCAATCTGTTTTTTAAAAAGCAGTGTTTTTCTTGGAAAACAAAGCCTACAACTTTTCCTGACTTAGCTGTCTGACACTTACGAGGCATAAATAATGTTTTGGTTGAAAGACAAAGACAATTTCAGACAAAGAAAATGATGATTCTTACTGTATATGCATTGCCCGAAGAGAATTGCTCTGTGAATTTCATTTTCAATGAAGCATTTATTTAAGACTGTATTTAAACAGGTAAACATGAAGTTAGCATTTCATTTATTTCTATTTGGAAAATTTACATTACTAATAGTGGAAATATTAAGCATATCGGTATTCCATTCTAAATTTTGAATTAAAAATTCTAATTAGCTAATCGAAATAATCATGAATTAGATGAAATTGATATGGATTCAGACATCTTTTATTATTGGTTTTATTTGAAAGGTAGAGTTAACAGAGAGAAGGTGAGACATAGAGAGAGAGCTTTCCATTATCTGCTTCACTCCCCAAATAGCCACAAAGGCCATAGCTGATCCAATCTGAAGCCAGGAGCAGGAGGTTTCCAAGCTTACCATGTTGGTGTAGGGACCCAACCTCTACTGTTTCCCAAGTCATAAGTAGGGAACCAGATCAGAAGTGGAGCAGCAAAGACTCAAATCAAGTCTCCAAATATGCTGCTGGCCCCATTGGTGGAAGCTTAACCAACTATGCCATGGTGTCAAACCCCATGATCTTTTATTACTTCTTGCAGGCAATGATC